CCAAGACAGTCTCGTAAATGTACCCTAATTACTTAAGCATTTACTATCCTATAAGGCCCTAGCCTAGGGAGGTCTATTATATATAGAGGTCTATATGGATACTAGTAGGGAATATCTAAGGTTATTTATAGTAGTTTAGGTATATACTGTAACTACGTAGTAGCCTAGTTGGGATTCTATAGTAACACTCCCCTAATATTTAAACTAAGACTTATTATAGGCTATAAGTAACCTAGTATTACCCTATCCTATTAAATATATATAAAGATAACGTCTACCCTAATCTAAATATACTAGTAGTATTACTAGCTTTAAAGACTAGGGTGCCTAGGATAGTAATAGTAGCGTTTTTAGGGGTTAGTATCCTAACCTAATAGTTAGTGTGCCCCTAGCTAGTAGTATTAGATTATAATAAGTACTAGTATAGCTAGATATAAGACTATAAAAGTAAACCTATTTATATAGTATACTAGCCTAACTAAATAATTCTACTCTAGATACTTATAAAAACATACCTATAAAAGATAACTATAATATACTACTAGATATATAATAATACTAACCTTATACTATTATAGACTCTCTAATAAAGACTTTAGATTCTACTCTACTAATATAGACTTATAAGAATACACGCGTTAGGAATATAAAGGCTAGACTTAACTATATAACTAAAGCTAAGGCTAAAGGTAATAGTAATAAGAGAAATACTTCTAGAGTATAAGGCCTAAAATTATAGCAGTCTCTAATATAAACTAGAGTATCTATTATAGATACCCCTTATATAGATAGTAGTAGTATAGGAGAGCTAAATAATAGTAATAGTAATAATAGTGTCTAGGTTTATAGATAATTATAATATAAGAGGGTCCTAACTATATAAGTTAAATAATATATATATACTATATTAGTATATATAAATAATATAATATAACATTACTATATATCCTACACTATATAAGCTTACTATATGTCGCAAACCGAGAATAGGGCAAAAGTGAACACTGTTACCCCACCCCGATAAGTTGATATATATGGTGGGATATTGATAAGATATTGTATTGCAACACACCCCCTAGTCAAGCAGAGCTACACATGCTTGGCTGAAGAAGCGCAATCTTTTTTGTCGTGGTTGTTGTCAAGTAGTATTATGGCGTTAATCCGGGAGAAATGTTAACCCTGTTAAGCAGTATAGCCAGGCGCCTCTATAGACACACTAATTAGGACCTCTTAAATGATAGAATTCTAACACCGCGATTTAAACCCACGTCCTCTATAATTTTAGCCGCGCTATACTAATACGCATTAAACTGTGGTAATAATACCACTGTGCTTACTATTCTTATAACGGGAGACATAGACACGGCTGACGTCAATTTTAATTTCGTGGATAAATTAGTAGAGGAGCTAGACGACTGCTGATGGTCAATATACAACAGCACGAGAGACTACTCGAAGAAAACG